TTGCGCGCGCATCTCACGACAGTGGCGCTGCAACTGAGCTTCTAAATATTATATAAATTCTAAATTAGCAGTGGCGCATCTACAAGAGTCTAATTTGAAGGCGTCCTTGTAGCCTCAAGTTTCACCTATCCTACCTATTGTAAAAAAAAAACATGACATCACTACCTTGTAGAGTAATGGGATACCGCACGCGGCGGGCCGCAGTGTAACTTATATTGCCTAATGTCTATAGCACAATTATGTGAATACACTACAAGCATTACCGTGTACGGGTTGAAGGGTTAAGGGTGCTGGTGAAATGGGGCATGGGACTGGTCAACTTACGTCTCAGGGTGACGGGAGCAATGGGAGACCAATTCAAATGTTTGCGATTTAAAGCTTTTCACCAGGCACATGACTTGTTCGTCCCGTCGCTTCGTACCATAAAAAAACGATTCCGTCGACAGTTTATCGATTTTACTATCAGACATCACTACTTTCAATACAATTCCCATCCGATTCATTAATTCATCCTGAGTAGCTTGTAAAATAGTTGCAACGGCAATAATCCTCAGATCTTTGCGATATAAAGCTCTGAGTGACACTGCAACTGCTATATCTATAATAAGAAGAAGAGAAGAAGTAGAGAGAGATGGTATTCAAAATTTGCCATTTACGAGGTGTAAAACTGCAGTGAAACAAAAACTTTATACTTAAGGTATTATCATGCAAATTCAAATCGTTTATTTCGGAATATTACGTCCACATTATTATAAAAAATTCCAAAATCATAAAGCGCACACATACATTACATTCGATAATAAAATAAACAAAATAAATTAAACTATATACAAATGAAATTAAATCAATAAAGGACTATAAACTAAAAACAAACACTAGGCTCAATTAAATAATAACAATAATGTATCATGGACTATCCTTTCTTATATGTAGATTCATCCAGTGGATTTGAATGGGACAGCTCAATCTATCTCCCACTATGGCCAGGATGCTGTTAGAGCCCCCGCGCACACGTCGTCACGGGGAAGCTACTCTTTTTCCAATGATAGCATGAAAGCCGTCAGTGTGTACCTCTGTGAATATACCTAATGCGCTACAATAGCGGCAGTCCCATGACGCATTATTATACTGCACCCTCAAAGTGTTTAGGGTCACCTTGCTATACGTCACCCAAAGTCTACACATACAGAAGGTTTGACAGTATGCTTTAAACAGCGTCAATTTGATCTCGTTACTACTACATGTAAACCTCCGGGCAAGCATGTTTACTCTTACCGCGAGGGTTCTCCGCTATCTTTCAATGTCCACCAGATCGGACTGATCGTCAGTCACCCAGTGACGCAGGTATATAAACATATATTATACAACTTCCGCGTACCTGGATGACTAAAATCCGTTAGCTCTTGCAGGTAGTCTCGATCTAAGACGTTTAAATTAAAATATAATGGTAAATGTATTCAAATGTATATTTGTAAAGAGAAACTCCAGAGTTTCTTGCTCATTTTTCTTAGGAATCTGCCTTACGAATGAGCAGTATAGTTTAATCAGTATGACGATTTCAAAAGTAATTTGCTTATCTATGAAATAAAGATTATTTGACTTTAACTTTGGCTATACACAGCTCTTATCAACAGTCACTTGGTATTTAAAAAAAATATCGTGACAGTGTGCCCCATTGTCTTTAAGAGGACCAGTGACCTGATGAATGCCAGGGTGTTCCACTGATTCTAAATGCAGCGGAGACGTAGTAATCGTTCAGAGGAAAGTTAAATGCAAACAACATGAGGCAAATGTAGAAAGAAGTATGTTATACAATGTACACATAAAAGTAGGAATCATAACGTCGTTTTAGAGTGAATATATGAAAATGCGTATGGGAGATTTTCAAGGCGACAATAAACAAACAGTTGCAGAGTTTCAAATTGCAAAAGAGGTGCACTCCCAATGCGCCCGACACCCTGAGATATAGTTGACAAGGCCCACGTGCCTGTAATTTCCCCTGCACCCCTGTCCTTGAAAACCGAATCGCAATAATGCTCACATTACTGCTTGGCGGCAGAAATAGGTAAGGTGACAGTACTTCCCTGGACGAACTATTTCACAAGGGGCTCTACTGCTACCAAAAAACATTCCTAACATCATACAATTTTTGGGAAATATAACAAAGATCGAACATTTAGAATAAATACCTTCGATCCTGCCGGATTCGAACTAACGTTCTCTAGCTAACCATGCCAGACGTTATGCCAACTAAGCCACGGAACGAACCAGCCTACCTTACGAATTTTTCTCATGTGCTTGTTAACAACTTTTTATGCCGCAGCGCCATCTAGTGTAATTTATTCCTTAACTCAGAGATGTAGGTACCTTCACAGCTACCATACACAGGAGGTGTTTTTTGCTGCTTTTCTAAGTTAAGGGCATTGAATACTGAAAACATAAGGGCGCTCGAATTATACCTGGGAGTGTATAAATTTCGACAGCCCTCTCATACTGATTTTCCTATATTTCCACAAGTTTCCAGATAAAACTCGTTAATCACAACATCCGAGTGATGTTCGAGAAAACAATAGCTCTATTGTTACAAGCTGATGAGAGTATCCATTATGATATTATCCGATGTAGATCGCTACTACGCTTTTATTGCCACGCTATAGGATCGTTTTTAATTAAGCTTTTGATATAGGGATAAGAGTGGCCAGATTTTATATAAACATGAGAAAAGTGGAAGGCCCAGATGGAGAAGGCGCGACGAGCTAGATGCTCATTATGAAACCTTTGCTTATAGCAGGGTTAAGTTGCGATTAGTAGAGGAAAGAAAGGAATGCCATTACCCTGCAGACGGATTATAACGTTTAAATTGAAATGAAATGTAATAAATATGTTATGTATTGTATGTTCTATACAAACTAATATTATAAATGCGATAAAAACTCAGTGTTACATTTTCACGCCTTGTACGCTGAACCAGTATTGATGAATTTTGGTTTATAGACAGATTAGAATTCCGTACCAAAAAATGTAGAATAAGAATCATAACCACATTAAGAACTACGTCGTCATCATTATGACCCAATACATGTCCAGATTTATAAGTGTCTCTGAATGTCTTCGATCTTAATTCTGAAAGCTCTGTTCTGTGATATTGTGACGATGGGATCTATTCCATCTTCATCCCACCTGTTTATCACCCTTTTTCTGGTTCCTGGCTACTTACTTTTGAAATTATGTATCGTTTTCTAATTCTTTTGCTTCGTCATTCTTACCTTGCTACCTTCCGTCGCCACTCGCATCAAGATTCTCGGAGAAGGAAGACCGTATCCTCCTATTATGTAAAGCTAACTGCTTATAAGCAACCATAATACGAATACGGCCTATACTTTGGGCCTTTACTTTACCTGTGCTTCCTTTCTTCCTTCCTTTCTTCCTTCCTTTCTTCCTTCCTTTCTTCCTTCCTTTCTTCCTTCCTTTCTTCCTTCCTTTCTTCCTTCCTTTCTTCCTTCCTTTCTTCCTTCCTTTCTTCCTTTCTTCCTTTCGTTCTTCCTTCCTTTCTTCCTTCCTTTCTTTCTTCTTTTCTTCCTTCCTTTCTTTCTTCCTTTCTCTCTTCCTTCACCTATTCCCTGTTATGTTACTTCTACAATAAATTTATGTGGACCGAGCGTACTTTCTATCACTAGAATAGAATATGTTTATTTGCTAGAATACAGTCATAACATAAGGTATTAAGTAAAATTAGGTACATTGTATTCAACCTGCAAGCAGATCTGCAAATATTAATGGGATTTAATGTTTAGTCTCTACAGTTTCAAATTAATGTAACAAATTTGTAAATTCTAAGTATGCTTTATTACTATAGACGCAATGTGTCAAAAGCTATTTTGTAAATTGTAATTTAAAAGTGTCCTTGTAGCAATTTAATTTCGTTTGGTAATTCATTGTCAATAATTATACATATGTTGAAGCAGTTATTCGTATAAATTATTTTCTTGCAACGAGGTTGGTATTAAAGATTCATAATTTTTACTCCAGTTTGCCTTTGAATGACTTCATCACGTGTTTTAAAATATTGAGGATGAGAGTTGACAAATACGCAGATATTCCTATTGTATTATTACTTAACCCCTCGGCCACAATATAAACCACGTACAGAATTAAACTCCCACCAAAATCTAAAATCCTAATTCCCACTCTATAAGTCACAGTAAAATCACCCTTAAACGGAATGCTACCAAACCAAATCGTATTTTAGAACAGCAACACTGCATTTCAACAATTTATCCGACAGGAACATATATCCTCAAACAATTGCTTCTAGAACAATCTACGTCTCGAATGTCGAATCGAATAGCGATTCCGAATATTATGCCGAACGATTGTTAACAGATATTTACGACTCGATCGGTTTCAATAATTCAGTGTACGCTGCTATCCGTATTTATTTTTGGGAGTTATTTTGAATACGTGCGAAAGCCAGCGAAGGACTTCTGCGGTTTTCAAACTGATAAAAGATTCATTTTGTAACTGAGTGAGGCGGCCTTTTGTACCCTTCTTTTGTTTTGTCTGTTTTATTGTTGTAAGAATGTTTAGCAGGTTACATAAAGGCAGATAAATAATTCTGAATTAAACAGGCCGACCAGCTCCTTCAGATTCACAAGTCCACAAGTGTCACAAGCCCAATTTTTGACACAATCGACTATTTTTCTACTGACAATCAAAAAAATATGTCCAAATCAACACTTCGAATACTTCGGTGTCCAACTGGACAAGCTTTGACAATTACGATAAAGATACATGCGATCATAAGTTAAAACTGAAAATAATACGAACTACATAAAACAAATGACATGGCAGCCTAATGGTTAGGTCTACCGCCTCTCAAGCACAGGCCGTGGGTTTGAATCCGGGTTTGAAAGGAGACATCGGGATGAAACCTGCAAGTCGGAGAAAGTTCATAGATCTCGGAAAACGCGTGAAGTTCCCAACCCACATGGGTCAGCGTGTTGCTTTATGGACTTAAAACCTTCGCCTGAAAGGAGACCCGTGCTCTGCAATGGGACGTATAAACAAATTATGTAAATGTGAAATTTTATAACACTTCTTTTAAAAAGTTGTCGACTGATTTCTTCGCAGAAACTTTAAATTTCTCTCGTGAAAAGTGATCTGTTTGCAGATGTGGCCTTATGAGTATAGTTGTGCGAACTTATTCTGTGCCAAGGATTTTTGTGACTAATTAAGCTTTACTTGAGCAAAACCGCAAAGATACAGATGGAAGGTGATTACCATCGCAATGTGTAATGGTTTTGGCAATGCTGTGGAAGTATAATGCATTGGCGGTCATGAAATGATCTAGTCACAAATTTTCCACGTAATGCGTTTTACTATAATTACAATTGCGACAAAAACCGTCGATATTTATCTCTTTCAATTCACAAATAACACGCCCAGTACCAACCCTTACATCTTGTCTATCGGAGTATTGATATGACAATTAATAGTACCAAGGTATCAGCTTATAGTGGAAATGTGTAACCAACACTGTTGTGTTCATATCTTACGAATGTTCTGCTTTGCACAGTATGCTATGAATAATGTTCATTATTAAGCGGTGTACAGCTTTGTTCCAGTAACCATTCGTATTCAGTTATTTAATAAACAATATTATTCGTTACTTAAGAGCATTGCGAAGAAAACTTTCGAAACGAAAAGCAAAATCCTGTTTATACCACTTAACCTCAACGTATTTCATAGACTTTAAAAAAAGTATCATGGATTGTTGACTTTAAATTTTTATTTTCCGAAATACAAAACTAACGGGGCGAACAAGCCGTGTGCTTGATGGTAAGCTACACGCCTGTCCATAACACTTGCAGTGCCACTCAGAACTTTAAATCACAAAGATCCGAGGGGCACTGCTCTGAGCCCATCACCCTGAGACATAAATTAGCAAGTCCCATGTACCTGTAATTTCACCAGCAACCTTTAAATCCGGAACGCAATAATGCTCACATTACTGCCTGGTGGCAGAAATAGATAAAGTGGCAGTACTTCTCTGGGGGAACATTTTACAAGGAACTCTATAGCTAATTATAATATTATGTAATTATTTTTCTAAATACCTATTGCGCTCTGACGCTGGCACTTCACAATCCTCTCAATACGGTTCTTCGTTTTGTTTTAATAGATAATGGCCCTTAACGAGACTTAAGACGCACTTGAGTATCTGAGCAAAAGGCAAGAAGAGATATTATACCGGTGTTTATAAATATAATAAAACTGATAGACACTTCATCCTGCACACGTTCCATGTATTTGGCATCTTTGTTGAGCGGGGATTACAGCTTAAAATGAATGTATTTCAGAAGAATTCACTCATAATATGAACAAAAGCTCTTGTTAGATATTACAGGAAAATATATTTTAAAAGTGTAATCCTGTTTAAGTGAAAATAATTTATTTGTGATGTATTGGTAGTTAAATAATTTCTCTTGGAGCCACAACCCAAAACTGGGTGTTTTGGGTTGTGGCTAGAGCAAATTTAGTAAAGTTCATTCCGAAAATTAGTCCAACCGGGAATCGAACCGTCGACCTCCAATTGAACGGTTCTCCCAACGCTTTACTAAGTAATTGTAATTTCAAAGTCTCAGCCCTTGCGCATTCGGTTCTGTATGACTGCACACGGCGGGCAACCTTGTATTCACCTCTATGAGCGCTTGCTTAGGTTCCTTTTTCCTCGTAGTGAGTGCCTGGTGCCATTAGTGAGATTTAGTAGGCAATTATAGCGCAGGTATTGTCGATTTTGTATAAGACTGATATATCTGTGAGTAGTAACTATTTAGTAATTAATGGTTATGCAAAGTAAACTAAAACGTGCCTTTTTTGTGTGTCATTATCAGTCTGGAAACTTTAGGGTGCCTTCAAATCTGACGCTTATAAAAGCGCTGCAGTGGCGCCACTATTAATTTTTATATAATGTTTAAAACCGCAGTTGCAGCGCCGCTGTCGTGGCATACACGCGCCGTTTTTGCAGTCACAATTAAACGTGAAACACACGTAGAGGGAGCGCTTTAGTGAACTAAAATTTACTGAAGACGCGCGGCTGCCGCCCCACTGTCACGCCACCGCGGCTCTTGTACAAAGCTTTTAATTTGAAGGCGCTCTAAGGCTCAATTTATATTGCAGCGGAACAAAATAGAAAGTATAGCGTGTCAACTCCATCTAGTGCGCCCGAAGCGTACTTGCAAGCGTCCTACTCGATATCGCGACGACCACCCATCCTCGAGAACTAGATTAGTCTTTTCGAATGTAGATGGCGCTTCTCGTCATTGACCCTGTTTTGCCAAAATATCTCTTATTCATGACCAAATATGGTAATAACGAAACAACTTCCGGTAACTTCCGTTTTATGCGTGATTACAGTTTTTCAACATTTTTTCTGAATGTTATTTAACAGTTCGGCACTGATGGTTTTGATTGTGCTAGCGGATAAAAGGGCGAGGTGAAATCTCCAAACCCTACAATCAGCTAATTACATAGTCATTACCAATTCTATAACCTTTATGTCAACTAAGCGACACGACTGTCCTTATGAGTTGCAGAGCTTTAAATCGCAAGGTTTTGAGATGCACTGCCACTGCACCCATCAGATTTTGGTGAAATTACAGCCACGTGGGACTTGTCAACTTTTATATCAAGTAACGGGCGCAGTGGCAGTACCCTTCAGATCTTTGCGATTTAAAGCTCGTGAATGGCACTGCAACTATCATGGACAGGCGTGTAGCTTACCATCAGGCGCACGACTCTCGTCTCGTCACTTGATCTTATAAAAAAAACCCTGAGACATAAGTTGATAAGTCTCATATGCTTGTAATTTTACCAACATTCTTATCCTCCTAAACCGGAATACGGTAATGGTCATATTACTGCTTGGGAGCAGAAATAGGTAAGGTGGCAGTACTTCCCTGGATGGACTCTTTCACAAGAAGCTCTACTGCAACCAAGTTAGTTTTGCTTACGTGTTTTGAACTGATTATAACTCCATCTAGCGTGTGAAAGTCAGTTCTGCGAAGTTGTACGGTATGAGCCGTAGCTTAGTGTATCTAGAACTGGTAATTAATTATCCGTTCTAACTCTCGCTGCTAGTTTAGACTCAGCTAATTTCGTGAATGAAATTGTTATACTTTGGTGGATGAAAGGGCTGTGGAAATGGGAATAGACAATTTAGTACAACGAATAAAGCCAGCATTCACTTTTTTTGGGCTTAACTGTCATAATGGTAATGATGTTCAGGTTCTTATGTTTTAGCGGTTGTTTTAGATGGGCATAGGTTCCATGGTGACAGTTGACTGACATGGTAAAGTCATTAAGAGTCTTTATAGCGTCGAATGGCTTTAGTTGATTCCGCATGACAGTGAAAGTGTTCTATCAATCAGTTTGAAAAAAAAATATAGCAAATTGAGAATATATACTGATTAGAATACGGTGTGAAAACACGATTCCTTAAAAATTTTCACGATAGAAAAAATGCACAAACTTACATCGAAATTTTAGAAAAAACATCTGTATTCAATAGTACTTGATTGTGAATAGTCATTGACTTACAAATAAATGGACGACGGGTCTAATACAAAAACCACGAAAAAAAATGTCCCAAGTCAACCTATTTAAACGTAGTGACATGTAAAGGAATTTGAAAAAGCTAAAACGTTGAAGTTAAATTGTAATGTCATCGCAGTACTGTCTAATTTTGCTTGCTCCGCTGTCAGTCGAACAAACGAAGACTAAAGCGTGAATGACGCTCTGTATACGATTTTAACGCCCTATAAGTTCGGACACTTTTTAGCGCGGACCCGACGTCTATATAATTATAAGTCAATGTGAATAGTGAATTTTTTTATATCAACTGAACTAAATAGAATATGTATAGTACAAGATATATATTTTTGAAATGGCTTTTAAATTTCGTTTGTAAAAAAATAAATTCTAAATTCTAAAATATTTGAATTCGAGATGAGGTAGTATCAACTCTTAACCACTTATATCTAATATTGATGCAAATCACCGTATTTTTCAACGTATTGTTAACCGTGACCATGGAACCTGTAAAGTATCCGAAACGTTGGTTTGTTTGAAAAAATTAATACACGCGATTCAGATTCTAAGAAACTAGTTTAATTTTTTAAATAATGATATTATTATTAATAGCAGTAGAAAGTACTAAATAGCTGATCAGATACTAATGTACCTTTCGCAAATTATAACAAAAGTTGGGCACCTAAAATAAGATACCCTGTGACTTAAATTGTCAGGCCTTTATCTTCTGAAGATGTGATCTATGAAAACAATAACTTATTATTTTAAATTAAGATCTCTGTGCTTACCTTGCTGGACTGGCTCACAGAGGTCCCGGCTTCGTTTCTCGGGCCGAAAGAAATATTTGTATGGCCTACATTTATTTATCTTAAGTGTGGGTGTAACTTGCGGTTGTTTATGTGTGTGTCCACGGCACCCGCGATGCTTTGCCTAGTGCGGGTTTATGAGTGTATACGTTATTATTATTAATAATCAATTGTTAAATAAATAAGTACCATACACTGACATTCAAATCAATAATAATGTGAAGACGGTAATAGTCGTCTAAGACAGCGACAGCGACAGCTAAAACCGATTTAATACGACGCCAGATATTCTAAGTTCGCAGTATTGCTTACCGCAACACTGAACGGAGCATTTCACGTATATATCTGTATATAGCACATGCAGGTGAGGTATTCAGGAATTTGCTCTTTACACAATGTTTGAACTATCGACTTGTTGACAAGAACAATAAATTATTAAAATCTGACCAATCAAAAACAATCACCAGAATAAGCCCTCCGAAATTGGCAAATGCAAGCGTAAATCTGATATAAATTGCATTAATGCTGTAAATCCTCGACAATATGCGACGCCTGCGTTCGCATCGGTTTAAACAAGACCTATGAAAGCTGAGGTGTATAATTATCGGGGATTTCATTCAATTTTGATATTAAATTACCAATAAAAAAAAGAAAATATCAATTAAAACGAGTTTTTACGCGTCCATCAATAATCTTTTCATCACACCTGCTTGGCATGATTGCATGGTGGCTAACCATGGCTAACTTGACTATAATGCCCCAAATAAAACTCACGGGTCGTTTTTCTTTCTATTCATTTCTTTCCATCCATGGTCATTAAGGCCTTTTTTTCTTGATTTGTAGCACGACATACTTCCTTACATAGGTCAGGTTCAAGTTCAAGCAAGGTTACTTAAGTTCAAAATTAAAACATTCGCTTAAAATGTTACCTAAACAGAAATTTAACTCTAACTCAGCCACATATTATTTAAGAATTTATTATTAAGAATTTGTTATAATTGATTTTAATCATTTACTGTATAAAAATTTTGCTAATTTTTTTCACAATCTTACATGGCTGTATGCGTGTTTACTTTCTACAACATTTTAGTTCGAGTGTATTATCTACGGAAAAAATAAAAAAGAACTCGCCATTTGCCAAATCCATAATTGTTGTGAACCTTATTCCATTTTATTCTATTCTATTTATTTCCTCGTATATGTGATGAAAAACATTGTACTAGTATGTAACACGATGGTAAAAAAATACAAAACTCGAGTTATTAAAGCCCCTCAGCCTTTGGCTTCGGGCTTCTAATAGATCCTCGTTAGTAATCACACAGATACATGTCTTCCCTCCCTCTTATGATATGGGGTCCTTCAAACGAGGCGTGAAGAGGCATATTGTAGGCAGGCAGGGTGGAGGCGGCTAGTGCAGTGAGGATTCCATCGCTGCACTAGGTTCCTTCGCGTTTGGATACCACTTTCCACTTAACATCAGGTGGAGTGGAGTCATTTGCCTGTCAGGTATAAAAAAAAAAAAAAAAAAAATCCCTAACGATTTTTATACCATAATGTCCTAAAGCCATACGATGTCTCTAACACACAGCTATTACTTTATTCACTTAAAAAAAACTTTAAAGCTCTGAGGCACACAACTTGTTCACCCCGTCAGTACTGTACGTGTAAGGAGTTCACCCGAGGCACTAGCCACTTGAGAACCGGACGAAGTCCGTGACTACGGTATGTGACAACCCTGTACACGGACTGATCCATGGTCCAGGACCTGAACTGGCAAAGTCCCTGTGCTTGCACAGATTATAGTACCCTTCTTATACATATAACCAGAGGTTGATAGGGAGGGTCACTATAGTAAAGCACATGTCATTTGTTATCATGAAAAAAAACCCCTGCCTCTTTTTACAATTAATCTAAGAAGAGTTCGAATAGTGCGGTGTGCAATCTAGATCTTGATGTATTAAATTATAATCAGGATATTAACTGCCTCCGTGGCCGAACGGTTACCATGCTGGACTGAGGTCCTGTGTTCGATTCCCGGGGCGGGGGAAACATTTGTATGGCCTACATTTATTTCTTTGTATAATACTTTATTGCACAAAGAAAATACACATAAAACACACATTAAAAAGGACATTTACAAAAGTGAGCTCATCTCTAGAAGAGATCTCTTCCAGCCAACCCTAGCCGTGGCGTAAAAGTAAAGTCTGCTGGACTAATTATTGTACAATAAAATTAAAATTTAAATGTAAATAAAAAAATATAAATGAAGATATACATGCGATATACATACAGGCCTACATGAACTTTATATACATAAATACATACATAAGCAGAATATATATTATAATAACAAGTTACTGCTTTATATATATGTTGCCGATTAATTATCTATCGCGTTCAACAAGGGTGCTCTTTTAATTTGTGTTTGAAAGATGTCTAGCAGGCAGTATATACTAGCAGCAGGCAGTTTATTCCACATACGAGCTTCACTTACTGTTAGAATTGTGGAAGAATTTGGAGCTGGATTGAGGGGAATAGTATCTTAGTGTCACAGGTACGTTTCCATTGTTTTCGTTATATAAGTACTTGTTGTTAACACCTAGTGTTTATTGTTTGGTTTTACTCAATGCTCGTATTTGATTTGTTTGTAACTATAAGTGTGTATGTTTTTATTTCTGTTTTTGTTAAGTGTTTAAAGCTGTTGGTTTTCCATGAATAATTAAATAAAAATGCAAACGTAAAGCGCTCTGAGTGAGCTTTTATATTTTCACTTCATGGTGGAGAGCGTATTATTCAGTCGCCATTTTTATGTTGCCAGCTTAAAGGGCTAATAATATAACACTGACATCGTAAAAATTTATGAAGTCGTAAAATTTTGAGCTTCATTTGGCGATTACAAGTGAAAACAATGTCCGATTTCGTAAATTTTTAACATTTAATAATTAAAATAGTAACTTGTAGAGACTGTTGGTCAAACCACATATCCAGCTGTGAATACAATAGTGTATTAAATCAAAAAGTGTATTTTTTTCAGAACTGGTGAAAAACGAATTATTCACTTCCAGTGAAAGTTTTCATACTTGCCAAATATATTTGAAATTGTATTAATAACTAATGGAGTAATTTAACAAAAAATAATTAAATAAACATCCTGCCATTTAATAAAACAATTAGAGTGAACAGCGACATCGCTAGCCAGGGTTGGTAGCTGTAAAGTTGCATAATTGGGTGACGAAATACTTTCATAGATTTCTCATAGATGGCGCTAAAAAGTCGTTAAAAACCACATACAAAATTCCGACAACAAGCCCATAGAAAAATTCGTGAAGTGCGCTGGTTCGTTCCGTGGCTTAGTTGGCATAGCGTCTGTCACGGTTTGCTACAAAACGTCGGTTCAAATCCGGCCGGATCGAAGGAATTTTTTCTAAGTGTTCGATCTTTGTATACAACAAAAAAAATTAATATCATGGTGATAAAATACCTGACAGTAAATAAACACTTATTATATTTAAAAATAATTTAATGTTTCTTAGTAAGGGCTGTTTTGTCCAGGACCAGTTCACAAAAAAATTGGCACTTTTTGAGTATGATGAGATGTCTTCATAATTATTTCTTACAATATTCTAACGATTGTTTATTGACGCGCAGAGATCCAAATTTTATTCTCCCTTCATTTATCACTCTCATGAATTCGTCAAAACGTAACGTCCAAACATTTTCGTCCTTCTCCTCTCTATTGCATTCAAAAGACTTTTCTCCTCCCCAGCCCTTTCCAAAACTTCCTCTATATTCGCAATAATGCATTCAGCATTTTTTCTTTACATGTTCAAATCGTTTAGTCTCAGTTCTACAATATTGAGTTATGACAGTGGGTATTTGGTTTCATTTGCCATTTATTGAAAGAACACACCTAAGCCTTTTAAATTTAAGGACACTGACTCCTAAATTAGCACAAGTGTGTGTGTCGTAGGTGACAGTGTTTCGTTAGGCGGGACAAATATAAGTGCCAGTATATAAAATATAATGGTCGTGGTAAAATATCAAAGGGCATAAGTATGCCTGTGCTTGTATAGATTTTCAGATTAATAATAATAATAATTTATTACTATAAACTGTGTAACACTTAATTTAATTAAAATACGGATTTGAGCCTATTATTGTCATGCTAATGTAGACAAATGCTGGATCTGTTACAAGCGTGCCAGCTACAGGTTTGTGTCATCATAACAATACCAATTTTTTTTTAAAGGGTAGATCGCCTAATCTGATCAAAGTACAGATTAGAATCTATAATTGGCATGCCAACGTATGCAAACTCTAGATTTGTTACGAGTGATCAAGTGTACCAGCTACACATTAGTCTTGTGTGATTTGGTATGGTAATAAACTAAAATGATACTACAGGATAAAGATGATAATGTATGATACAAACTACAGGAGGCCTATATTCAGCAGTGCAGCGTTGCCAATGTGTGGGAAATTTCAAATCGTTTGAGATCGATTGGGGTTTTTGTGATCATGGCGCTATGTGGGGATAATGCGGGCATTCTAGTACAGCGTCAATGGAGCCTATCAAACCAAAACACAAAGGCCCCAATCGGGTTCAAGTGAGTTGAAATTCTCCACACATTGACAACACTGGCGCTGAGTGAAGTTGAGCTATGAGTGGTGATGATAATTATGGTAAAAATGGTTTTAATTTACCGACAGACAGAAAAAAGACGTGATATAAAATCAATAAGAGAAAATGGCTTGAATTAAATATTTCACATAAATCACGAACACGCAGCGCAAACTCGCCTATTGTTCAATACGTCAATGAATGTTTGCAAAATCAGAGGAGACGTTTTTGTTATCGGTAGAGCCTTGCTTTTTCTTTCCTAATGTATGTGACAAAAGAATGGTAACCGGTGTTTTTGATTATCTAAAACTACGATTTGGGACTATTCAAGGCCAGTGCACACAGACACTTTTTGTCTAAAGGCGTACCGTTGTCGGTCACATTGTCACTTAATATCTGGTGACATTTTGGCCAAACATGTCTATTTTTTTTTATAATAAATAAATAACATATATAGTAAATCATGAGTTACGGGTGCCATGAACACACACATAGGCAATCTCAAATTACACCCATACTCACGAGAGAAATAATTGTAGGCCATATAAATATTTCTCCAGCCCCCCGATTCAGAACTCTTCGATATTTTAACCGAATCGTACGATTGACAGTTCGGCCACTGAGGTTATTAAAAACTTCCAAATAACGGGAAGAACAAGTGAGAGAACGAAAAACAAGCCACGCGCCTGGTGGTAAGCGACACGCCAGTCCATAGCAGTTGTCATTCCGCTGAGAACTTTAAATCGCAAAGATCTGAGGGGCACTGCTGCTGCGCCCGTCGCCCTGAGACATAAGTTGACAAGTCCCATGTGCCTGTAATTTTACCAGCAAGTTTACCTTCAAAATCTCAATGCTTATATTTCTGCTTGGCGGCACAAATAAGTAAGGTGGTACTTCCTTGGACGAACTTTTTCACAACAGCTAATCCAAACTAATATTATAAATGCAAAAGTAACTCTGTCTGTTACATTTTCACGTCTAAACTGCTAAACCAAATTTGATGAATTTTGGTATAGAGATAAATGGGACCTAGGAGAAGGACACACATGTAAAAATTAATTTTAAAGGAGTTAAAATCGATTCCTCGAATGAACACTATGCCAACTTTATTTTATGCTCAGTTTTAGTTATTTTTGTAGACAGCCATACCTATTTACGAATATTATACTCCCCGAATTTTGTGGAAAAAAATTTAAAGAAACAAAAAACAAAATACGAAAAAAATAATTT